GGGTAGTGGACTTCCCTGATGAAGTCTACCGCTAGGAGCTTCCCAACCTCCTCATCGACTACCCTCTAACGTTCAGGGGCAAGGTTGCACTTCTTCTGCCTTACTGGCCTGACTAAAGGGTTGGTGTTCAATTTGTGAGTTATAACTTTTGAATCAATGCCGGGCATTTCTGTCATGGGCCAAGCAAAAATATCTAAGTTTTCTAGTAAGAAACTTACTAGCTGGGAGCGGAGTGGTTCGTTGATCGAGGCACCGATCTGGAGAGTCTTTGCCGGTTCGTCAACAGATATCGGTATGTGGACCGTTTCCTCTATTGGGGTAGCTCGCCCATCGGTGTACTCCGTAGGTCACTCGAGCTCGACATCTTCTGCTAGTTTCGCCTTTCCTTTAAGAACAACTACATAGCATTTGCACGATTCGAGCTAATCACCTCGCACGACTCCCACCCCGTAATCAGTTGGCAACTTCATTGCTAAATAGTAGGTGGATACTACCGCGCGTAGAACATGCGTGATGGGCTGACTACTATGGCGTTATAGGGGGAGGGAGTCACAACTACCAGAAAGGTGTGCTTAAACCGCACGATATTTGGCCACGTGCCGGCCTTTATAGGTACTGTGACTCGTCCAAGAGGTCTAACCTCCTCGCCGTTGAACCCTACTAAAGGGGTGCATACTGGTTTCAAGTCGCTTTGCTGTAGCTATAATTTATCAAACGTTTCCTTGAAGAGTATGTCGAACGAGTTGCCCGATTCTACCAATATCCGCTTTACTTCAAAGTCATTGATCCGCAACTTTACTACTAAGGCATCATCATGAGGATACTGGATCTCGCGTGCATCATCCTCAGTGAAGTATATCGATCCTTCAAGCCAAGGTCATTTTGGCGGGTTTTCCTCTTTGTTTTCTAGTTCGCACACCGAGGTCCTCCCGGTTGCCGATGTACACCCCACGATGATGGACCCGCTGATAATCATGTTAATTACCCCGCGGATCGGTCTCCCTTCTGGCAATTGTCGTGGCGATTGCTCATTTTGCTTGCTGGCTTCTGGGGAATTCCTTCTTTGACCTCCCTATCGGTCTGCCTGCCGATCTGCCTACCTCCTTTCTTCGCATACGATGAAATTCTTCAGGTATCCGCGTCGGATGAGTTCCTCGATCTCATCGTGAAGGTTCCTGTAGTTCTCTGTACTATGCCCGTGATCTCGATGAAAGTGACAATAAACATTCAGGTTCCTTGCTGTTGGGTCTCCCCTTAACCTAGGAGGCCATTTGACGAAGGAGGAGTCCTTAATGGCCATTAGGATCTCTCCTCTTAGCATTCAAGGGTGTGTAGTTCATTCTCTCAACAGGAGGGGTCCTGGAGCGCCGACCTAATTTACGAGATTGTGAGGGGGATCGACTTCTAGAGTTGTTTATTCCCCTACTCGGGGACTTGTTTTTCTTCCTCTTCTGTCTGCCACTACTTGTTCCTTCACTTTCTCTCTTCCTCTTCTCCGGTGGTGGGTTATCGACCTTCTGATTGATCTCCTCCTCGGTGCCAATGAACTGATCTGCTAGCTTAAGGAACTCGGAAATGTCCTTCGGTTTGTTTGCTACAACATAACATTTAAACTCCTTGTGGGTAATTCCCTTCTTGGCTGCAGTGAGTCTCACTGCCAGGTCAAGGTTCGGTATCTACAAGCAAGTGTCATTGAAGCGTTTGATATAGCTCCTAATCGATTCTCCTTCCCTCTGAACCACATTGAGAAGTCTTTCCTGGGACTTCGGACACTTTTTGCTGGTGATGAAATGTGTAGTGAACAAGTCAGTGAACTGCAACCAGTTTTTGATTGAGCCCGATGCGAGGTTCTGGTACCAAGTTCGAACTACCCCTTTGAAGGTAGTAGAGAAGGCTACACACATGCAAGACTCATCAGCCCCAGCTAGGAGCATCTGGGACTAGAAAGAGTCCACATGGTCGTTAGTATCGAAGGACCCGTCGTATTTGTCTAATGGGGGCATCTTGAAGTCTTTTGACATCGGGGTCGCCAAGAGCTCGGGAGACAGAGGAGATGACCTGCAATGTAGTGGAGGTGCGGTCTTTGTAGCCACCGAGCTCACTTCTTCCTTCCCTTTGGTTTGCTATTCTCGTTGGCTTGGCTTTGTTGGCGGGTTGTTCTTAACCAAGGTACGGCGTGTCTTGCGACGTCTCCGCTGCTGTTTCTTTACCGGCTCGGTGTTGGTGCTACTGACTTCAGTTTGATCTAGTACTGTGGCCCTGTCGCGAGGCAGATCCTGTTTTCTTGAGGGATTCTAGGGCTGACTATCATGAGGGACGGAGAGGTCCTGTCTCGAGTTTGCACCTCGAACCCCGAACTGGTTATCTGCTCACAAGCCATCATTTTCTTGTTGTGAGTGCCGAGGCGGATTCAACCGACTATCCCCGGACCTATTTTTGAGATTTCCTGGCGAGGCTGGTGGAGTGTGTTGACTGTCTCTCCGCCCTCAGGGTGAGACCTGACTCCTGAGAGGAATCAGTGCTTGTGAGGTCTCTTCGCCCTGATGGGGGGATCGATTGATGTTCTGGTTAATCCCAAGGCGATTTGGGTTCTAACCGTGATGGGGCCTTGGGTGCCGAGGTGGGACCGACTGCTGGTTTGGCTGTAGTAGAGGGAACTGGCGTTGATATTGCTGGTAGAATTAATACTGTTGGTACTGCTGAAAATGCTGAACCTGCAACATTTGGATCTGAATGGCCCGGATGCACTGAACGAGGTCGTGGAACTAGGAACTTCCCACTCCAGGAGGAACCATGGAAGGCTTAGAGAAAGTTGCGCCTACCACTGGGGGAAGGGGGTGCTCACCTGTGCGGTGCTCGGTGGTGCAGTCAGCGATGAGACTCCAGACGCTGTGAGTGGAATGGTGAACTGTCCGATGCACACCGTAGGAGCTTGGGGAAAGGTTGGCTGCTGGGCTTGCCCCCCGGTGGTGTTCATCTCGACGCTTTTCCCGGTGTGGCTGGAGGATGGCATTGAAGTTAAAGTTGAGCTGAAGCTGCAAAGAGGTAGGAATGACCTTTCAATCGAATTCCCACAGACGACGCCAATTGATGGTGTGCGATTTGACCACTCCTAGCTGGAGGGCGATCCGGACTCCCGGTGGACGGCGAGCTGGATCGATCTGCAAAACAATCTATCAGAGAACCCGGGGTAGCTAACCCGACGAGGTCGCTCCGATGCTTAAGTCAGTAAGTATGCTGTAAATGCGAGCTAAATGCTTGAGAGCTTGAGTGCTAGAGAGTAGAGTGATTACACATACCTTTGCCTTGAGGTTTCGAGTCTTTATATACTAGAGTAGCCGTGGGCTTCATGAAAGAGCTCCGGGTTCCTCGGGCCGTAGAGATAAGGTTGGTTCCATTTTTGGAGGAGGGCGGTATGTGGATGAGGCGTATCGTCCACCTCCGATTCAGGCGAAACCGGGATGAGTTCTTATTGTGATTTCTGGAGATTCGGAATCTGTTAGCTCATCGTGACCCCAAGAGATTCGGGATCCGTTGGGGAGGCCTTCGGAGTTGGTTATACGACGCTTTGGCTCGTTAGATCCGAACTAGAATTTCGATTCTTTAGTCCCGAACTGGATTAGATACCCGAGGTGCCTCTACGCCGAAGCGGGTTTGGAGCCGAGGTGACTGCGAATGTAGCGGATTGGGCCAGCCCGGCTGAATTATCATCCTTCAATCAAATTGCGCGTAGATGTCCCCTTCCTGTTAGGTCGTGCCAAATCATCGTTGATCATCATTAATTTTTCTGACAATTGTTTAATAGCTCCCTTAAACTTTATTGTTCACTGCCGCATGAAACACCACGACCACCTCCTGCATGACGGAACACCACGATCACCTTGCGACCGTTTAACTAGTGCTGCCAAGCACGTCCACAATAACTCGGCTGAAAGGAGGCAAACCCATCTGCTGCTCTGGGCTCTGCTCTAGCTCTTAAGCAGAGGCTCCGGCGAAGACGACGCGCACCTCAGGGGTCTGGTCGCAGACTTCCAAACTTCACTTTCGCTGCTGTCTAGCTCCGTCTACCCATTTCCCGATAAATCTCTTCTTAACCAGAGGCTACGCCAAACCGCTAGCTCCATCTTTACCAACGGCGGCGATAGCCCCCTCCACCTCTGGCTCCCTCATTTCATTTGAAAGTTTTTGGAATCTTAGATCACTTCTCCCGCTTTTTTCTCCAAACCCACCAAATCTCTGTTACTTCCCTGACTCTCCTACCGGCGGCGAGGAAGGGCATCACCGGCGTCGATGCTAAGTATACAGCACCGGTAGCTTTCTGGCGTCGATGCTGAGTATACAGCACCGACAGTTTTCTGGCGTTCTTCGGCAGCGCTCCGGCGTCGGTGCTGAGTATACAGCATCAATTTGAATATACAGCACCAGCAGCTTTCTCGCGTTGTCCGGCATCGCTCCAGCCTCATCTTCGTCCCCTTTCGACGGCCAACCTGTCTCAGAGTGGGCAGTAGTGACGCTCATGTAATCTGCGTCACATAAACTCGTTTAAGCCAAAAGTAAATCTTCTCTGACTCTGAATCTCGAAAGCTGTTAATTSGGAAAGCTGTTTTCTTTTGCTAATTTGCTCTCTCCCTCTCTCTCTCTCTRGCAGGAATCTGGTTGAAGAGTAATTAYCATTGCCGTCTTGCTGACATCAACGCGCTCTATTTTTTGCTATAAAACCAGTTTATTTGATCTTGTTGGATTAAATGCAGACTATTTCTGCTTTGCTTCTTAGACCCTTTTGGACTCGAGGGTAGTTGAGCTCAGATGAGCTTCTAGTTGAGCTCAACAATGGCGGAAAAGAACATTTCTATCTCCATTTC